GGAGAATATAAATGAAGAGAAAAGGGATACTGGTGTACCGGAGTGACCTGGCAGCAGCATTGCCCCTTCTTCTCAGGGTGTAGGAGCTGAGCTTTGCAGTGATCACTGTTGTCAGGAAGAACATTACAGCTCTGGCTGTCCTTTGCTTTTGGTACATGTAGCCTGGAGTAGCTGGAAGCAGCAGGGTGGTTTGGTGTGCTGGAGCAGGATTAGAGAGCTGTTGTTGGTAGGTCACATGATGAATTCTATCACAATTTTATGGCTAATTGCATCATGAGGCTGCTTTTATGCACCTCCTTCCCAGGGATTTAGGTTGGGATTTTCAGAGGAAGTTAAGCACCTGATGCATTTCAGTGAAACTGGGTGTCACACTGTGGCTTGACTGGTGAATAATCACATGAGTGCCCTGGGCAGGGCCCTTCCCCAATTCTCCTGCCACACCTTTATGATACTTTGAAAGGAATGGGTTCAGTGTTCTGTGTGGTGGGCCCCTATAGGGGTACTCATGGTATGGCTGCAGCTGACTCAGGGCTCCACCTCCCCCACACCCCGTCCACTTCCCAACCGTGGATGACAGTGCTTTATGGTTCACAGTCACTGCTCCAGTTCTTTGGCTCCATTTGCCTCATGCCAACTGTAGCTCCGATGTGTAACCCTACACTGGGCCACCTCAGGTTGTGGCATGGGTGTGCCCGGTGTTGCTTTCTGCCGCCTGCTTCCAATCCTTATCCCTGAGTTAAAGACTGTGGGCCATCCCTCACCAGACCCCTTCTGACTTGACCCAATGGGTCTCAACCAAAATCAAAAACAATGAAGAACACCCCCCCCCCAAAAAAAACAACAAAATGATTTTCCCAAGAAAACTGAGGCTTTTAGCTAAAAGCTTCTCTCATTCCTTGGAGTCTCAGACTAACAGAGAGTCCAGGAATGAGTCTTGGAGGCATACCCTTCCCTATGCCTGAAGAAGGGTAACTGTACCCGAAAGCTTGCCAAGAACTTCTTTCCAACTACTCAGTTGGTCTAATAAAAGATACCACATTTACTCAAAGAACCTTGCCTGCCTATGTCCTTAGACCAATGCGGCTACAACCAAAAACTCAGTAGTGTGAAGGAGGGTGAGAAGGTGTGGGAACCCTCCTACACACTCTTCCCCCACCCCCGCTACTGTGCACTGCCGCCCAGCAGCACGTGGCTCCAGCCAGAGCTGTACTTGGTGGCAAGGAGTGTAGCCAGGCTAGCCTACTTCTATCCTGTGGGGCTTCCTGTGGCGCACATGTAGCTCCCAGCACTCCTGCACCACTGGGAGGAAGGCTTACATGACAGAACAGGCTGCCTTCACCGCTCCCTGCTGTACAGGTCCCAGGACTCCTGCACAGGCCACAAGCACCCTGAGCACCTGCTGCTGCTGCTGCTGCCGGTGGGGCCTGTGCACCATTGGAGGGACTGTGTAAGGGGTCCCACATGCACCAACCCTCCCTTACACCCACATCCTGCTCCGCGCTCCTCCTAACCTCCTCTGCACTCCAACCAGCCTCAGTCCCATACTCCGTGCTCTTACCCAGCTGCAGCTCCTCCTCCCCCTACTCCTGCCACTTCTCTACCTGCTGCTCAGAGCAAGTGCTGCAGCAGGGAGATGAGTAGGAGCCAATGGATGCTGGTGAAGCCAAGCAGTTTCCCCAGCAGCTGCAGAAGTAGTAGCAGCAGGAGCCCCTCCTGGAAGCTGTGTGCTGGATGTGGTGTACTTTCATTTTAGCTACGTTTTTGATACAGTTTCCCACAACACTTTTGCAGGCAAGCTGAGGAAGTATGGACTGGATGAATGGACCGTAAGTAAGGTGGATACAAAACTGGCTGGAGCATCAGGCTCAGAGGAGATTAATCAATAGCTCGATGTCTAGTCGGTAGCTGGTATCAAGTGGAGTGCCCCAGGGGTTGGTCCTGGGGCTGGTTTTGTTCAATGTCTTTATCAACAACCTGGAAGATGGCTTAAAGTGCATGCTCAGCAAGTTTGCAGATGACACCGAGATTGGGGGAGTAATAAATATGTTGGAGGGTAGGGCTAGGATTCAGAGTGACTGAGACAAATTGGAGGATTGGGCCAAAAGGAATCTCATGAGATTCAACAGGGACAAGTGCAAAGTCCTGCACTTAGGATGGAACAACCCTATGCACCGGTACAGGCTGGGGACTGACTGGCTGGGCAGCAGCTCTGCAGAAAAGGACCTGGGGGTTACAGTGGACAAGAAGCTGAATATGAGCCAGCAGTGTGCCACGAAGGCTTGAGGCATCCTGGGCTGCATTGTTAGGAGTGTTGCCAGCAGGTCAAGGGAAGTGATTATTCCCGTCTCTTCAGCACTGGTGAGGCCACATCTGGAGTACTGTGTTCAGTTTTGGGCCCCCCACCACAGAATGGATGTGGACAAATTGGAGAGAGTCCAGAGGAGAGCAACAGAAAGAGTTAGGGGGCTGAGGAGAGGCTGAGGGAACTGGGCTTATTTAGTCAAAGAAGAGATGACTGGGGATAGTGGGAGGAGATATAATAGCAGCCTTAAACTACCTGAAGTGGGGTTTGAAAGAGGATGGAGCAAGACCAGTGGTGGCAGACGACAGAACAAGGAGCAATGGTCTCAAGTTGCAGTAAGGGAAGTTTAGGTTACTTATTAGGAAAAATATGCTCACTAGGAGGGTAATAAAACACTGGAACAGGTTACCCAGAATGGTGGTAGACTCTCCATCCTTGGAGGTTTTTAAGACCTGGTTGTACAAAGCCCTGGCTGGGATGATCTAGTCGGGCATGGTCCTGCTTTGAGCAGGGGGGTGGACTAGACGACCTCCTGAGGTCCCTTCCAACCCTCATTTTCCATGATTCTATAAGCCAACACAGTAATTGCCTCACAGTTTTAAGCATCAAAATGAAACATCAGCCATGGAAGATAATGATTAGAATTCCTAAAAACAGTGTTTTAACCAAGAGTCAGCCAGCCCATGCAGTCATAGGCATTGTCAATGGGAGTGTCTCTAGTGCCTATGTTGCCTTACAGAATTGAATGTGCATCAGATAACTATGATGAATGAGCTAGATCCTTGGCTCAGCCTAAGATAAATTTGGTACAGTTGGACTGGCTGGGCAGCAAAGCTGTGTTTATGCTCATTCAGTCCTGGAGTCAGGCCAGAACTTGAGGGAGCTTAGAGTGACCTTGGGAACCATCCAGGCAGCCTAGGATCACTCCTTATCTCGTGCCTGCTGTGGCAGCTCTTCCCACCAAAGGATTTCACTGACACAAGCAATTCCTCAGGGAGACAGTTAGGGCAGTTTCCCAGCAGCTGGATTGGACCTGAGATTTGGGCCTAGTCTCCACGTTCACTGGCAAATGTTTTCTTTTCTTACTGATGTTTCACAACTGTGGGACGCAGTACAGACAGTAGTACAGATAGCCATCCTCTTGCACAAATTTTATTGATTAGCAGAGATCTAACCTGGGCCTTTATGTCATTACTTAAATTTCTTGTCATATTTATTTTCTAACATGCTTTGAATACAATATAGAGTCAAGTAGAAACCATAATGCAGTGAGCAGAATCTAGTCTACAGATTATTTATTGTAACAGAGAGAACAAAAGGGTCATTTAGTAATTATATTTCATAAACTCTCGGAGTCATGCAGTTTATAGAACTATAACATTTACAAGCTGGAATCACTATTTAAGCCACTGAATCGCTTAATGCCTGTGAAATTTCACAGGAGGTAGAAAATGACTAACAGCTTCCCAGAAATCTATAATTCTTAACTACCTTTTAAAGCAAAAGTAATCATTTTTTTTTTTTTACTTGCAGTAAGCTATGTAGCAGAAGGAACATAAGGGTATTTTTCCATAGAGCTGAAAGAGGCCAATAGATGGGTAGCTCTGAAAAGTACCTCCACTTTCTTTTTGGATTTCTGATGAGTCAGTTAATAACAAGAAGCTGCAACTTCCACGGGGCCAAGGAGAAGACAATGTTATACATTAGAACAAACAGGGATGTAAAATAACCGCAACTTGTTTTTCAGCAATAATTATTGTTTAAAAGTTCAGTCATACAATGGCGAAACGCAGTGAATTGAACATAGACAATGTGATCGGGACGTTCTGTTATACTGTCAGGCAAGGCAGCGCTACTTATCTCACCAGGGGCACTGGGCTCTTTTCTCATAATGAGCACCCTACCTAAAGAAAGGGGAGAACGCGGTCTCCCTCATTAGGAAGGCTGCCATGGAGACCAGACTAACCTGTACCTTTGCTGTTCTCTTTCTCTTTACTTACTCCATTTAAGGCGGTTCCTTCTCTTATACCCGTCAAGAGGAATTTTACTATTGACTTGAATAGGAGTGGTTGGAACCTTTCATTTGGGTCCAATCCTGCTAGGCACTGAGCGCCTTTAATTCCCACTGATTTTAATGGCAGCTAAGTATATTCAGCACTCTTTAGAATCAGGCTATTACAGAGAAGAAGGAATCATATTTCTGCTACTGAAGATGAGACCGATCCGGAGGTCTTGGGACTGTGGTCTTGTCTCTTTGTCCCTAATTCACTTTTCCAGGCAAACTCAGAAACCTTCTTACAGTAACCAAAACAACAAGTATTACTAAAGTTTGCTTTCTTAGCTAAAGGAGGTTTTCCAAGTCAGAGACATGACATTTAAGTTACTATGGGTGTTCAGCTTTCACAGTGCTTGTGTCCTAATCACAAAGACTGCACCAGATTGAAGGTAATTTGACACAGGGTTTGGCTGACCTATCCATTCACAAGCATTCTGTAAAATAAGCTGGGCCATCATTTTGCTGTGTCACGCTGTGGACTGTAAAGGCATCATGTCACACGCTTTGTTTGTCTTCTTTTTATTAGCTCCCAAGAGGGACAAATGAACAAAGATTATGAGCAAAAAGATACCTGGGGAGGGAAAATGGAAAACAACATTACTGTAAAGCTAACGGTATATTTGCAGATGTTCACAATGTTGGATCAGACTTCTTTATTTTTGCATATTTTTATATATGGATAAGAGGAAAGCAAGGTGAATACTATGGGAGGTAAGAGTAATACTGACAACAAAGCAACAGCTGCTTACATAGAAATGCTACTTCCAGCTAGAAATGAGCAAACAATAGATTTAGTAATAAAAAAGCAGATTCTGTTTTGTTTAATGTTTGTGGGTAATGACATACCTATAGCTCCAATGGTACCAACAATAATGCTCACTGCAGATAACACTGTGGGCCTTCCTTCCATTCTTCCAACTTCTTGCATGCACTGTCCTTCAGTTGTACATAAGCAAATGGTGACTGAGGTCAAGAAAAAGAAAGACAAAGAATGCAGCATAAATTCCTCTGATGGATGTTTTAGAAGCATGGACAGGCAGCTAAGTAGGAAGAGCATTTTTGTCAGCACTTGGACTGCAGAGGAAAAAGGGCCCCAATTTTACCCAGAACAGTATAAAATCGAATCTCCATATCCAGCCAGAGCTCTCTACAGATTCAGGTCCCAATAAGTGCATTCTTCAACTCCTTCCCACCCATCTGTTTTCCAGTCAGCACTAGCAAGGACTGGGGTCTGGTACTACCCATGGGCAGGTGTAGGATTTTGAAAAGGGGGATACGGATGGTGTGGTGCATCATCTCATATAACACAGCACATATTTTTCTCCAGGTAAAAAGAAGCTCAAAGGTTTACTAACGCGCTAGTATTAAGGTTACCATCAAAGCAAAAGCAAATAGAACTTGAGTGGAATGAGTTACAAACAGTCTGGAAAGATGTAGGAGCTACATTACCAGGAACAGCTAGAATGGCTCACTTGATTAGTGGAACATCAAGACCATTAAAAAGGAGAAAGGGTCATTAACACCTGTGGAATGAAGAATTTAGAAGGTATCAGGTAGACTACAATGAGTGGGCCATGAATTCAGTTGACTCAATCAGCGCTGCCTGATTGGCAGTGTTGCTACCACTGCCAGGCGGTTGGTTTTAAACTTTGGGTAGAGCAGGAAT